ACGACGAAGGAGTGCTAATTTGAGCATGTCATACGAGTTATGCGCAGGGATATTCATGTAGATATCCCTGAAGTTGCTGAGCAACTCACGCGGGATTGCGGACAGCAGCTTATGGTATCGTGATAGTTGTCCGGAGATGCGGGCCTCGAGTAATCGCGATTCCAGAAGTGCGAGGAACGCCTCCGCGTCCTCTGGCACGAACTCGGGGGCCCTGATATGGACCCAAGGAGCTTCGGTGTGGACGGCATATTTACGCTCGGGACTAGTCATGGTTAACCGTAATTATATATGAGATTGTGGAAACGATGGTAAAAATGATGAAATCGCGCCTACGTTGGGAATACGAAAATGGCAAAAGCAAACCGTAAATGACTGTTAAAACCCAATCCAGAAATAAATCTAATCTAAAATTATCTGAATGAGTGCAGATCCGTAAAAGTATATATGCGGAGAATTTGCAAGGAATGTGACCTAGAGTCTTGAAATCTTGAAGTAATGAGAGAAATTATATTTTCTCCGAAAAAAATATTTCCAACGTAAATAAGATAAAATAAGAGGGCTCACCAATTTGTAGGCACTAGCTCACCAATAAAACTTTGAAAGAACTGTGCTGCGTTGCTTTAACCGAATGGCATTCGGAGGATTTCGAAAAGACCTAACGGTGTGACTACGGCTGTTTTGGAGATGTCAGCCTCAGCTACTGGTATCTGGTTGTATGCGCGAACCAGATCGATGCGGTTGAAAAGTTCTACCGGCTAGGTCTGACGTGAGATCCGTGATGTGGGGGATCGGGTACCTATCCGGGGTTGTCACGCGGTTGAGTGTGCGATAGTCTCCACATGGACGCCTGGCGTTGGATGACTTTTCGGGGACCGTGTGTAAAGGGGACACCCATGGACCTTCGGAGGGGCGTATGATGCCTATGTTCAGCATGTGCTGAAACTGCACGTGCGCATCTTATAAGAGGGTAGTCGACCGGGACGTGCGTGGGCCGGTGGACTTCGAGTGACGATATGGTACGACACCTCCGTCGCGATAAGTGGCAGCTTGGTCCTGGGGCGGACGAGGCTAGGAAACTCGCGGAATAACGATGAATATGGCGAATCATCGTGTGGAAAAGGGATGTATATATTCTGCGCTTCGGAATATACCAGGGAACCGACGACTATTCTAGAAGTGACTGGGTCTCTAATCTGTCACTGGCCCTCAACACAGATCTCCGTCGACAATACGTCGCGGCAACGCAACGGAACGTCCAACTGGGATACATAGAACGGTTGGACTTCTCACAACCATGTGGGCAAAGACTGTGGTACTTGCCACACCAATCGGTAGCAAATCCCGGAAAGCCAGGGAAGATACGCGTGGTAGCAACCGTGCTGCAAGCCGGCCATCATACAGCTTGATCGGTCTACCGACGAGATCGAGCCAAAATCAGGACAACCATAAGGCCGAGGCCTCTACGTCCTGGAAGGTTAAAAAAAATTAAAAAAAGTTCGACTGTGCTTCACGGTACGGCGGTCTCTCCCTTAACGACTGTCTGTTGCACGGACCGGACTGGATGATTCCCTTAATTGACGTGCTCAACCGATTCCGGCTAGGAGCAGTGGCAGTGGCAGCCAACATACAAGAGATTTTTCTCCAAATTAAGATACCCGAGGATCGACGCGACGCCCTGTGATTGCTATGGTGGCCCGACAGTAACTTGCAGAACCCGGCTGTAGACTATAGGCTGACCGTTCATCCATTTGGAGCGGTTTCTTCACTCTTCTGCGCAAACTGCACTTCAGCGGACAGCTTCACAATACGGGATCAACTTCCCGGCTTCGGTGTCAACTGGCGTTGCGAACAATTTCTTCGTCGACGTGTAGAAAAGGGCGGAGTATATTCTGCGCTTCTGAATATATCAGGGAACCGACGACTACGTTTAGTGACTCGATGTTTGATGACGTTCGTCAGAACCTGTCACTAATGTTTACTCACTTTCATTTTGAATATCCGTCCCAAGAGTAAACAGAACCAAGGATTGAGTTTGTGGAAAACGATATATTCTGAATCTTCCGAAAGGTTGGAAGTAGGATTGGCTAGGCCTAGACTGTTATTTGAGCAACGGCACCAGAAACCTGAAAGTAGATCTAATCAATGCAACGAAAGCGTGCAATACAGAGCTCACCGTGGGGAATTTTGTCGGTGCACGCTTTTCGAGTTCATTACAAGAACGATAATAGTTAAAGCAAACCCTAATCCTGGAAATGTCCAAGTTGCTTTATCCAATAGAGAAACTTTCCTCAGAGGACAGCTATCGCCAACTAATGGCGATAAATGCTAAATCTCGACGGTACACTTGATTGTGTCCGGTGGATAAGGGTCCTTAAAGAAGAAGGAAAAAGCCTGATGGTAGTTTAGCTACCTGATCGATAAGCTAAGTCGCTACTTGATTTCTGAACCTTGATGGTTCTGATAGGTATGCCATGGTTATGTACCATGCCTTGATAGTCCTAAATTATACAGGACTGGTTAGAAACTGAACCTATCCTGCTGCTAGTCACCAGCGTAGGGTGAAAGTACTTATGGTACGTGACTTGATGATCACGTCCAGCTTGAATGAATCTATCAAGAAACTTAGAGAAAAACAAGAGGTAAGAAGAGAAAACTGCCGTTGCGAAACTGTCGGTTGAAGAACCGCTACTGTGTGCTTCGGGATGACTGGAAAACTGCGGTAGTGGTGGCATTACACAAAGGTGGTAGTAGATCTAACCCACAGCACTACAGACCAGTTAGCCTAACTAGTGTTCTATGCAGGTGCATGGAAAAGCTAATCAGGACTCACGTCTGTACCCACCTTTTAGAGTATACTTTACTTAGCGTGTCCCAGCATGGCTTTATGAAAAACAGGTCGTGCCTGACTAACCTCTTATGTTACCTCGACCAAGCCAAAGAGAAGGTAGACGAAGGTAGAACAGT